GTCTATGTTGTCTCACTACAACGTATCCAGGAACCGACAAACATCCAGGTACGACGACTAAACGCGGTTACCAGGAAACTACAGGCAGGTCCGAAGAAGATCGTGTATCAAGCTATGACCCCAACAGGAGAAGTCGACCTGCATAGCGATTCTGGCTATCGTCGTCTCAACGGAGATGAAGACGACGAAGTCAAAGGCTATGGTATCCGCGGGGCTAACCTGCTGAGGCGTGGCCACACGCAAGCGGGGAAACCCGTCGTGCACCTGGTGGACGCATACTGCAAGTCTCATCGACTGCAGGTGCGTTCGAGCTACTCTGCGGAAACACTGGCAGCAGCCCACAACTTGGAAGACTGCTACCCGACCATTGTAACGCTCCACGAGCTACACTCGGGACCATTGACCCCCACACAGTTAAAGAACATATTGGAAATGGGTGGTCTATGTATCAAAGTCACTCTGACTATTGATGCCGAGTCTGTCTTCAAGTCTTTGTCTAGCAAAGATCTGAAGAAGCCCACAGAATGTACTCTGCTTGGGCACATTAGCTGGATCCGCCAGATGATGGAGCGCGGAATCGTTGAAAGCGTTCAATGGTGTGACACGCGGGATATGACTGCCGATGGTCATACCAAAGGTAGTATTGACCGCGCGTTGCTCCTACAAGTAATGGCCGGCCAGCAATCCTTCAAGCACGAGCTGAAGAAACATACTCCGTATAGGGCGGGCAGGTCGTCTCAGGACGGCCCTGCCTCCCGAGCTAGCGGGGAAACCCGCGGGCAGGTGCGCTCTAGTAGCGAGGAAACTCGCCGGTAGCGAGGCTACTCGCGCGCCCTTGCCTTGTAGGCAGCCGCTGCTGCTTAGCACTGTTTTTCCGCGTAATGTAGAAGTGCGGTGCCTGCTCGTCTCCTCCCCCTCCGACTTTAAACGGAGAAGGTTAAAGGCGAGGTATAAATCGAGCATGTACCGCTGCCGTGCCTGGCTCAAGCCGGGCCCGGCCAAATATATGACTGTGCCTCACCGAGGCGCACGACTGGTATCTGAGATCGGAAAATACCTTTTCCATTGAAGATGCCTCTTCTATCCTTTACTCCAGATCCCATGCTTCGTCTCGCTCTCTTGCTCATGCGATATGAGCCAAAGCCTGGGATATGGCAACGCTTGAAGCGTAACACATACCTAAGCTTACCAGCATGTTTTCGACTCCAAGAGGCCCCAGAGACTGCCAACATGGCATCCAAGACGGCAAATATTGCCCCAATATGCCTCCAAGACGGCCCAAGATGCACCCAAGACAACCTAAGATGGCCTCAAGATGGCCCACGACGGCACAAGAGGCCCACAAGAGGCCTCCAAGACGGCCCAAGAGGCCTCCAAGAGGTCCTCCAGGAGGGTTCAAAGTGGCCCAAATCAGTGGTGTTCCTTAGGTTTTTGAAGGATTTTGGCATTTGCGCCTTTTCGGCATTCCGACGGCCCAAGAGGCCCAAGAGGCCCCCAAGATCGCCCACGAGGCCTCGAAGATGGCCCCATGACGGCCTAAGAGGCCCCCAAGACGGCGCCAAGAGGGCCCCAAGAGGCCTCCAAGATGGCCAAAATGGCCTCCAAGACGGCTAACATGGCCCCAAGATGCCTCCCAGACGGCCCAAGATGCACCCAAGACGGCCTAAGATGGCCTCAAGATGGCCCAAGACGGCCCAAGAGGCCCCCAAGAGGCCTCCAAGACGGCCCAGAGGGCGTCCAGGAGGTCTTCCAGGAGGGCACGAAGAGGCCCAAATGACTGATGTTCCTACGTAAGGTGTTTGAAAGATTTTGGGATTTGCTTCTTCTCGAGATTCCAACGGCTCAAGACGGCGCAAGAGGCCTCCAAGATCGCCCAAGAGGCCTCGAAAATGGCCCCGTGAGGGCCCAAACGGCTCCCAAGACGGCCCCAAGAGGGCCCCAAACCGGCCCAAGAGGCCTCCAAGACGGCCAAGATGGCCTCTAAGAACCCCTAATATGCCCCAAGAGGGCCCCAAGAAACCCAGACAGGCCCCCAAGACGGCTTCCGACGGCCAGAAAGGCCCCCATCAAGCCCCCAAAGGCCCCCCAAAACCTTCCAAGAGGCCCCCAGGAAGCTCACAGGAGGCTCCAGGAGTGCCCCAGGAGGCGCCCAAGAGGCCTCCTCCCCCTCCTCCTCCTACTCCTCCTCCTCGTCATTTTTCCTCATCCTCCCCCTCCTCCTCTTCTTGCTCCCCCACGCGTTCCCCGAAGTCTTTCCAAACCGACTCGGGGAACAATTGGCCCGATAGCTTGGCCAAGCTCTGGCCCAGCTGTCGGCCACAGAGGCGCTTCCAAAGGGGCAGGGGGCGGCGGTGACTCGCCGTAATTAGGCGTCGATCCGCCGCCCCCTGTTGGCTTGCCAGAGGGGTGCCCGGCGTGCTAGATTCTTACGGTTTTGGTTTTGGTTCTTTTTCCAAACAGAACTCCCCCTGGGGCTTCGACCCGTCCTGCCGGCCACCCGAAAGGATGCCGAAAATTTGTCCCCGGCTCCAAAAGGTTTTTCCTGGTCCAGACGGCTCCACGACGGCCCAAAATGGCCTCCAAGATGCATCCCAGACGGCCAAGAGGGCCTTGCACCCAAAATGGCGCACAATAGCCTCAAGATGGCCCAAGACGGCCCAAGAGGCCTCAATACGGCCCAAGAGGCCTCCAAGAGGTGCTCCAGGAGGGCCCGCAGAGGCCAACATCATAGATGTTCCGTAGGTTTTTGAAGGATTCCGCAAGAGGCCTCCAAGACTGTCCAAGAGTCCTCCAAGACGTTCTCCAGGAAGGCCCGAAAGGGTCAAAATCATAAATGTTCCTTGAATGTTTGAAAAGTTTTCGTATTTCCTTCTTTTCAGATCTCCGACGGGCCAAGACGGCCCAAGCGGCCCAAAACATCGACCCAAGGCCCAAGAGGCCCCCAAAAGGCCCCCAAGAGGGCCCCAAGAAGGCCCGAAGACGGCCCAAGAGGCCCCCAAGACGCCCAAGATAGCCTCCAAGACGGCCATGATGGCCTCCAAGATGCCTCCAAGACGCCCAAGATGGTCGTCAAAACGGCTAAGATGGCCCAAAGATGCACCCAAGACGGCCCAAGCTGGCCTCAAGATGGCCCAAGACGGCCGTGTATGCCCGCAAGAGGCCTCCAAGACGGACCAAGAACCCTCCAAGACGGCTCTGAAAGCTCATGGTGGCTTCGAGGGCGCCCGAGAGAGCCTCAAGACGGACCCACCAGAGGCCCCAAGATGGCCCCAAGATCGCACAAGAGCGTCCCAAGTGGGCACCAAGAGAGGATGTGTCGGGCCCCGACGGGTCGACGCTAATTCATGCCCAACCTTTTTCGGATCGGTGCCGTCCCAAGAGGGCCCCCAAGGCAACATTGAGCAGCCCAAGATAGACCCTAACGGCCACCTGAATTGCCCCCCAGAGCGCCCAACGATGGCCTCGACGCGTCTTCGATGTGCTCCCATGCCGAAAGGTCCGCGACGACCTTTATGGTTGACTCCCGGGTCTGCCCGGGCTGCTCCCGAGCTTCGGTGTGACAGCTGCCCTCCCTCTTTGCTCCTCTGCGTGCTCCTACGCCGCGATGATCCAGGCAACTCGCTTGGGGATCGTCTCCAGAGGGGCTGGTGAGCTACGCGAGGCGTCAACAACAGTGCTGTAATGGTCCCAAGGAGGCGGAGGAGGAGGAGGAGGAGGAGGAGGAGGAGGAGGAGGAGGAGGAGGAGGAGGAGGAGGAGGAGGAGGAGGAGGGGGGGGAGGCCGGAGAAAGGGCGGAGCTTGCCCCTCCAAGGGCACGACATGACGCACAGGTGGCCGTCTCGATCATCCAGGCCGCAGGGCCTTCAGGTGCCATCCCCCTCCCATCCCCGTCCCCTCTCCCCCTTGCCCTCGCACAGGTGTGTGTAGCCTCCCCCACGCCAGCTCCCGATATGCACATCGGCAGACTTCACAGACCGCACGCGGCCCGAGCAGTAGCCCAGGCCCGACCGTGACCCGAACGACAGGCTGACCCGAACGACCGGCTGGGGAAATGACCCGAGCGACTCGATGGGCCCATTCCATCCCATTCCTCTCCTCTCTACTCCACTCCTCTCCCCACCTGGCGCACAGAGGCGGCGACCTGGAGCCCCCGCGCGGGTGCTGGGCGGAGGGGCCTGTGCCGCGAGCGTGGGCGTGCCTGTCGAGCGTCTCGGTGATGATGCCCGTCACGTCCTGCCGGGGATGCCGGCTGATACCCACCAGGCCCACCCCGACCCCAGGGCCCAGGACTTCGTATACAGCCAGCCCGTATCATAAGGACGCGCGGTAAGGCTGCAAAAGGGCCCTTGAGGCCCACGCAAACGCTGTTTGAACGAGGCCGGCCAGCGAAGGTCGCTCAGGAAGGGCTGAAGGGGCCAGGATGCAAGGGCACGCAATTGGGAAGGGTGCCCATCCTTGCTACGTGGGTTGACTGTGCCCACAAGGCGACCCCAGGACTTCGTGGGCACGCCCGGGCCTTGCCCAAGAGAGTCAGGGAGCACTAAACCGGGTAACGCCTAAACGGGGTAACAGACCCACCATGGGATCCAGGTAGAAAACTGCAACGACCTGAACAGAAAAATGAACTGCATTTTTCTGCAACGCAACAAAAAAAACTGCACTGCAATTTGTTGGCAACTAGTTGCGGAAAAACTGCAAGCAAGCCCCACAGACCGGGTAACAGGGGGGCCTTAAACAAAAAGTTGCAGTGCAGCAGCCGAAAATGTGCAACGCAGCCAGCATGTGGAAGGTGCTGCATCGAACGCGAAAGCAAACAAAAAAACTGCACTGCAACAAAAGGGCCATTTGATGCCTCGAACAAGCCCTTTCCTGTTACCCCGTCTGCTGTTACCCCGTCTCTGGCTCCCTGAGAGAGGCGCAGCCACCCACCTCCGGGGGCCCGGGCTCGGCCAGGAGCCACGGAGCGGTGCGGGCGGGCAGTTGGCCTGTCCCCCGGCGTCCTCGTCGATAGTGGAGAAGATGTTCCCGTCGTAGTCCCGGGCCTGGGCGGGGCCCCAGGGGGAGGACCAGGCCTCCAGGACCAGGACGCGCAGAGGAGGGGGGGCGGAAGCGAGGGGGAGGGAGTGCGTGGGTGCTTCTCTTAATTCTCCGTCGCAGCAGCCGCGCGCTTCGATGCCGACCCCGCCGGCTCGCGCGCGTGCCGCTCGCGCCAACGAGCCACGCGAGCGAAGGCCGCGACGCCGATGTGCGGCGCGAGGGAGGCGGGAGGCGGGGGGGGGACCCTGACCTGCCAGGAGGGCTAAAAAATAACACCCGACTTAAAAACCTATCCCAGAGCTATTCTACGTCTTGGTTTTAGGCTGTTTCGCCAAGCTTTTTAGGCTTTTGGGTCTCCAATGCTAAAAAATAGCTCTCTGGAAGGTCAGGGGAGGAGGGAGGTGGGGAGCCTCCGTGCCCGCTTCCGGCCCGAGGGGGGGGGGGGGCGCCAGCCCGGGGCACGAGCGGGCTCCAGGCGGGGGGGGGGGGGGGCGGCGCCCCCGCGCCCCGCACCCGTGCTCGGACACGCCCTGCTCGGCTCGTGCGCCTCGGACACGCCTCGCTCGGACACGCCTCGCTCGGACACGCCCTGCTCGGACACGCCCTGCTCGGACACGCCGCAGCCTCGGACACGCCTCGTGCCCGAGGCTGCGGGGCCACGCCCTGCTCGGCCCTCGTGCGCTCGGCGGGCGCGCGGCCGTGCCTCCCCGCCCGCCTTGCGGGGGGCCCTCGGGGGAGCCCCGGCTCCTCGCTGTGTCGGGGCGCCCGGCGAGAGCCCCCTCGGAGGAGTGCGCGCCGCTCGCCCGCTCCTGCCTCCGCCCCTGCGGGGGAGGAGGGCGGCTGCGGGGCCCCGGAGAACGCCGCGGCGGCGGGCCGTGCGGCGTTTCTGGCGGCCCTGAAGACCCCGCCGCACCGCACGGCCTCGCCCTGGCGCGGCTGCCGGAGGGCCCCCCCCGCGGCGGCCCGAGGCGCCCTCGGAGCACGAGCCGAGGCGCCCGCGTCCCAAGCGGACCGTGCGGCCGCCCAGGGCCCCCACCGACCCATCCCGCGGTGCGGTCACCGCACCGTCTGGGGCTTCCCCGTGCCCCTCTGTCCGAGCAGACCTCGCGCGCCCCGTGGGGCCATCGGAACTCTAGCATTATCGGGCGTGTCCCCCTACAGGGGGATTGTCGACGAAAAATCAAAAATACTCAAAAAATGCACCAAAAATGTTTAAAAATACTCAAAAAATAGTCCCCGGACTATTTTGGGTTATTTGTTGACTATTTTTGGGGTATCTTTTTTATTTTTCATCGAAAATCCCCCTGTAGGGGGACAGGCCCGACTTACCTCTAGCATTGGTTTCTCTGTGCGCTCTTGTTGATGAGCTGTGGCCGCAGGACTGCGACCGCCACGACGCGCGCCCTGCGGCCACCGACGCAACGCAGCATGCGTGCGGGGAGGAGTCGTGGCCCGAGGCTGGAGCCCCCTCGCGACAGATGGCCCTCTCGAGTCGCTCCCCTGACCTTCCAGGAGGGCTAAGAAATAGCACCCGACTTAAAAACCTATCCCACAGCTATTCTACGCCTTGGTTTTAGGCTGTTGGGCTCAGTTTTTTAGGTTTTTAGGTCTCCAGTGCTAAAAAATAGCTTTCTGGAAGGTCAGAGTCTGCTCCGCATGGCGGGAGGCTGGGGAAGAGCTCGAGGCGTTGACGCCTGGGGGCCGGGAAGTGGCCAGCTGTCGCGCCAAAGCATGGCGGGCCAGAACCAGCGGCGCGACACGATGCGGAGCAAAACATCCCGACCCTAAGCTCCAAGGTTAGCTCCATGGGCGACCGATGACCCCGGACCCTGCAACCCTGTCCTTCGCGATGCTTCGGAGGTGGTTCCAGGACGACAGGGCTCCAGCACGTGTTGCCCCGAGGCGCACCCTTGGCAATCGGCGACCCAAAACGTGGTGCCCTGGCACAATGCAAGTAAGGTTGCTACGACTGCTAATACGGCATCATTCTACTGCTAAGTGCTGATCCCGCTGCTACCACTGCGACTGCGACTGCGACCACCATCGTCACTGCCACTGCCTCTGCCGCCGCTATATTACGAGGCTGTGCCCCTATCTCATTGCTTGCATACTCATCTTTAAACTAATGCGAACTGTATTTCAAGCATCGTCACTGTATTTGCAATGCTCCTGACCCCATGAGTATCTATCATGGGGGAAACCATGAACGCATGCGTCCTGGGCGTCCCAATACTCCACCGGGTTGGTGTCCATCTGCCTGCAGGGGTGCCCAACCGACGGACTGCTGCGGTCGATATCGAAGGACCACGCGTTACGACAAGGGTTTGGGACGCTGCTTTGCTGCACTGTTCCAAGACTGAAGGTCCATCAATGGTCGAATGCCTCGCGGTCGCCAGGATGGATTAGCTGCGGCGGTGGTCAATGACCACCTGTCTCAATAATCGCACGGCCAAATAATGAACCAATGTTTGCCAGCGTGGACCTCAAACAACGCAATAGGCCGGAACAAACATTATTACGGCAACGACGCGGCAACGAGGCAGCAGCGGGCGGCAACGTGGCGACTCCTCGGCATACTCATAGAGGCGGCAGCGGGCGGCAAATTGGCGGATCCTCGGCATGCTCACGCAGCACACGAGGCGACAACGGGCGACAACGAGGCGGCAACGAGGCTGCTACGTGGCGAATCCTCGGCATAACCGCACAGGTGGCAGGCGTGGCGAATCTTCGGCATACCCACACAGCGTACGAGGCCGCAACGACGCGGCAATGAGGCGGCAACGAGGCGGCAACGGGCAACAACGTGGTGAATCCTCGGCACGCATCTAGAGGCGGCAACGGGCGGCAACTTGGAAACCCTCGAAGTAACCACGCAGCGCACGAGGCGGCAACGAAGCAACCAAGACTCGGCACGGGCGGCAGCGTGGCCCGCCCTTTGCATATAGACACAGCGCGCGAAGCGGCAACGATTCGACAACGAGCTGCAACGGGCTGCTACGTGGCGAATCCTCGACATACGCACACAACGCACGAAGCGTTAACGCCGCGGCAACGAGGCGGCAACGGGCGGCAAACTGGCGAATCCTGGGCAGACTCCCGCAAGCGGCAACGGGCGGCAACTTGGCGAGTCCTCGGCATACCCACGCACCGCGCGCGGCGGCAACGACGCAGCAACGAGGCGGCAACGGGCAGCAGCGTGGAGGCGGCAACGTGGCCTATCCTCAGCGTGTCCACACAGCGCACGAGACAGTGCCGATGCGGCAACGAGGCGGCCACGAGCGGCACTGGGCGGCAGCGTAGCGAATCCCTGGCAGACCTGCACAGCGCACGAGGCGGCAACGCCGCGGCAACGCAACAGGCGGCAACGTGGTGAATCCTTGGCATAGCCCCACAACGCACGAGGCGGCAACGAGGCGGCAACGTGGCGAGTCCTCGGCATACCCTCACAAGCGGCGACGGGCGAAAATGGGAAGCAACGAGGCGAATCCTCGGCATACCCCTACAAGCAGCGACGGGCGGTGGCGAATCCTCGGCATACCCATCCAATTCCTTAGAACCATGTGCAAGAACGGGCAACAGTGAAGCGCTCGCTCACGGGGTAATCACCGCTTCGTGAATGAACGAGACATGGTGAATAACCGAACCATCGACGAACTCAGAGTTGTGTGAGCAATGCTGGGAGCGATCTCACCTCCTGGATGACACGGCGAATGAGATGTGAGCTGGGATCTCAAGCCTCAGGGCACACCGCTCAAGCACTCATTTCTGCGTCGCTGGTCCGCCTGCTCAAAGTGTCATGGTGGTCTCGCTGCGTGGGAGCCTCAGCCGACATCCTGGGTATACCCCACCTCAATCATGAGGGCGACAAGGACAAGGACCAATCTACTGTCCAGGATGGAAAGGACGAGGGCGAGGAAGGAGGGGGGCTACCCATTGCCGTCATTAGGGCCGACCCTCGAACGTCCTGGTGCGACGCGACGGTGCTGCTAAACCAAGGTGGCAAGGAGCGGTCAACTGCTCCGCCCTGGGCACAAGAAAAGACTGGCTCGTGCTCCAGCTCCTGCTCCTCCTCGCCTGCTCCCGTCGCCTGACTCCTCCTCCTCCCCCTCTTCCTCCTCCTCCTCCTCCTCCTCCTCCTCCTCCTCTTCCTCCTCCTCCTCCTCCTGCTCTCTCGGCTGCACGCCAGGGTGGCCCTCAGCACGCGTGACCTCTGGCGCGCGGCGCCAGACCCGACCGCGCGAGCCGCTGCCATCAGCATCGCGCTCCGCGATCCGGGGGCCCCTGCGGGCGGGCCCGCACCCGAGGGCCTCTCCGGAGAAGGGGCCACTCTGTGAGCAGGGACCGACCGTCCCGGCATTCCTATAGTCCCACCACGAAATGTTCTTGGAACCTCAAAAATGTTCTAAGAACAGAAACAATGTTCTTAGAACATAAACCCGATGCGTTAAAACAAGACAGACTCCGCCAGAAATGTTCTAAGAACATTCCGTGGAAGCCACACAAGGTTCGTAGAACATTGTTTGGTAGGGCTATAGGCGAGCCAAGACGCTTCGCCACTGCTTGAACTTTCGCGCGCAGACCCACCCACCCCTCCTCCCCTGGGCTGGCCGGCCGCGGCCACCAGGGCGCCTCCGAGGGGGCCAGTCAGTCCCAAAACCTTCACCTCCGAGCCACCAGATCTCGATCGATCGATCGGCGACGACGACGACGACGGACGACGACAACGGGGACGGGGAGAGATGCTGAGGGTCATGGATCATGGATTGGCCCCAGCCCGCAGACCGAGGTCCAGAACAGAGAGCGGCAAGACGGAGGGAGGAAAGAGGAAGGAGGCTCTCGGTCCACAGCTCGACCCTCCGGCGGCCACCCTTGGACGATCCAGGCGCCCAAGGGGCGCTCGCGGCGAGGCGCAGCTGCTGGAACGCACCCCGAGGTGGACAGCCACTGAGAACCACCTCGCCGGACATCCGAGAGGGAGTTCTTCGTCCCAGATCTATTGCTCATAGCCCCTGGGACTTCTGACGGACACCACCAGAGGCCGACATCGAAAAAACGCCGCCCAGATTGAACGAATCATACGTGGCACCCGCATTTGCGTATACGAGTGAGTGGGTGGCGGCGCTGGCGAACCGCCCCCAAGAGTAACCCCCTAATGCGTAGCCTCAAATGCAGTGTAGAGCCATCCGGCCACGAGCGCGCAAGAAGAAAGCAAGACCGTGCGGGCACCCTCGCACTCGATCTGGGGTCCCCCTTCTCCTCCTGGCGAGCCCGAGGCTCTGGAGATCCGGCGGCTCTCGAAGATGTCTCAGGCGCCGCGGCCTTCCCAGAGCGTTCCGGAACGCTCTGGAACGGATTTATCCTCGTCCTAGCTTCGTCCGACCAGCGCTGGGAGGGCCCCCGTGGGCCCGCACCAGAGAGGCCACGGCTGCGAAGGGTCACTCCGTCGCGAGGGGGGGCCAGTCTTCGGGCCACCCCGGCCGTGCGCGACGAGCCGGGCACTCCCGGGCTGCTCTCGACGGGGCGCAGCTGCTGGAAAGCACCTCGAGGCGAGAAAGAGCTCCGAGGACCTCGCTCGGATCGCTGGCGAGCGCCTCGATGCGGGAAAGGGCTCGTTCGCTCCGTCCGACCTCGCTCTCTATCGTCGGAGGCCCGGGCTCCCCCCTCCGAGGCGGCGCGCCCGGGGGGCAGCGAGAAGGGACGGGCCTTCTCAGAAGGCTCGGAAGTCCCCTGGACTTCTGACGAGTCTCCTGAGCCTTCCCCGAAGACACAGAGCAAAAACGTCTGAGAGGGCGCGAAGGCTTCCGAGCAGTCCCGCCGCCTGCTGAGGCGGCCTTCTCCTTCTCTCTTCCCCCCCCTTGCTCGCCGCCGGCCTCCTCCTCCCGTCGGGGAGACGTAAGACTCGGGTAAGGGGGACTCGGGTTGTCCTGACGGGGCCACCATGAACATGACGAGACCCGGTCTGAAACTTGAGACGCGAGCTCCCGCTGCACACATCCCACGAAAACAGCACCTTCATCAACATCCAGGACGCGCTCTTCAAACAGCGTCGGCAAAAAAACCCGAGTTCCGGCTTGCTCCGGCTACGCGCAAGAGCGACCCGCAAGCGTGGCCTTTGCTGCGCGGCTTCCGGGGGGGCGCGAGGAGGCCAAGCCCAAGCGCGCAGGCCGCTGCCATCGCACCGCGCTCAGCGATCGGGGGGGCCCCCGATGAGCCCGCACCAGAGGTCACTCAAGCCAAGGGTCACTCTCGGGCGTTGGCAGAACTGGGTCTAATGGAACCTGGTTTAATGATTGGTACCGGGCGCGCCCCCCCGCCCCATTTCCACTTACAGGAACTGCCGTCACCCGAAAAAAAACACCAGCTACGGCAAACCTGGTTCAGTGATCCTGGCCAAGTCGAGGGGCCCCAGGGCCCTACCACTAACCGCGCCCCCTTACCCGGGGTCCTGGCTATACCCGACACTCTTCCCAGACCCCCGACGTCATGATTTTTTTCATGACGTCGACCCCCAGAGGTTTCGACCCCTTCCCTGGGACCGGCTTTTCATCCTGAGTCGTTTTTTGACGGTCCCGAGGCCGGGTGAGGGCCCCCAGAGGCCAAAAATAATGAAAAACCGCCCGTCGTGATTTTTTCAGAACTCGAGGGGGTCTGGGTTACTCGAGCCCTCTACGTTTCCCCGGCTGCCGGCGGGAGCCGCGGCGCGGGCCTCCCGCGCGCCCGGGCCGCCGCCCCGCCGCGCTTCGGTGCCCCCGCGCTCCTCGCTGGGCCGCCGCCCCCCGTGCGCCGGAGGGCCCCGGGGGGGGGGGAGGGGGGCGGGCGGCCGTCGGAGAGCGCAAGAGGGGGGGGGCCCTGACCTTCCAGAGAATTATTTTTTAGCACTGGAGACCTAAAAGCCTAACAAAGCTGAGCGAAACAGCCTAAAACCAAGACGTAGAATAGCCCTGGGATCGGTTTTTAAGTCGGGTGCTATTTCTTAGCCCTCCTGGAAGGTCAGGGAGGCGGTGTGCGTTCTTTGCCCTAGCAAGTGCTATCGCCCTGCGGCGGAGGCATCTATCTTCTTTCCTTTCTTTCTGTTCTGCTGCTTGAGCTCTCCAGGCGCGCATGGAGGGCGCGTGTGCCGCGCATTGGACTCTCACTGCGCGGCCCGCAAGCGGCGGCGCGCACGGGGCCAGGGGCGGGGGCGCCGGCCGCGCTCCGCGCCGCCCTACAGGCCGAGCCGCCCGCGCGCCCGCTCGCGCGCCCGCTCGCGGCGGGCTGCCTGCGCCGCTCGCCCGCGGGCCCTGGCGTCGGCCGCCGTCGCGAAGCCGTGGGGCGCCAGGGCCTCGTCCAGCCCAGGCCTGCGGAGCCCCGACGCAGGCCTCGGCGGAAACCTTGGACGAGGAGTCCAGGGTATGGGAGCCGTTGGAGCTCTCATCGTGGAGTGGCCGTGGATCTAACCGCCGCCCTCATCTGAGAAGGAGCCCTCCAGGGTCTGAAGCCTCCTGGCCGCACTCCTCAACCAACGCCTGCACCGTATGATGCTCCCACTTACTTCAGTCTTGACCACCAGCAAGAATTTCGAGCACCAAGAGAGTCTCGACAACTGCAGGGTGTTACCGTGTTTTGTGGCCATAGGAAGCAAAATGCTCGCTCGGCACTTCGCCAGCGTGTCGGGCAGACACTGCTACGATACTTTTCGGGGTGCCCGAAATCATTTCTCGGATCTGGTCCTTGAGTACGACAATTGGAACCACACAACTCTTGCGTGGCATTTTGCCCCCCAGCCCCCCCCCTGCCGCCTCTGCAGGACTGGGCCGAGGAGGCGTGCAAGTGCGTCCCGACTTGCGCGAGGCCCAGATTCCTTGTCGCGCCCCCCCCCCCCCCCCCCCATGCAGGCAAACTTGCCAGAGAGGCGCCTGGCGCACATGGCGCGCGCGGCCCACCTCGCAAGCGCCGCGCGTGAGCGTCGCGCACCTGGCGTTCGCTTTCGGCTCCTCGTGGCTGTCCATCCCAGAACTCTGTCGGGCGTTGCCCCCCCTATACAAGGGGATTTTGGACGAACAATCAAACACATTCGCACAATACCCCCAAAGGCTCAAACATACTCAAAAAAAGCCCCCCGAGTATCTTTTTACTCTTTTTGAATAATCCTCCTATGGACAGGCCCGACTTATTAATCCTAGAAGGTAGAACCCACCCATAATAATAATCACCCCGACAAGCGAAGCCGTTTAGCAAACGCACCCCAAGGAAGGAATCGAACAGGGCAAGGCTGTTCAATAAATGCCCACGGCCGCTCAATAAACGCGTCAATTGCCCGGTCTGGGTGGAATTTACTCCCTTGCCATCCAACGGCGCCCCCTGGCTATGCTGAGACTCGGGTGCTACCCACGTGGTGGGAGAGCGTGTGGGACTGGGCGAGGCCGCCTGCGGGGGCGGGGTGGTTGGCTTGACCCTCTGGGGGGTCGACCTATCGCCCCACGTGGCACACCCGGTGCACGCGGCACGTGCGGCGCACCCCCGGGGGGCGTCGCGCACCCGGCTGGCGTCTGCTCTGGTCCACGTGTCGATGGTGGCCCCTGCCCTTGCCGAGACGCGGGTGCTTATGCAGTGGCGGGGGCGGAGGGGAGCGAGCGAGACAGCTTGCGGCATGCTCGCTGAGAACTTGACCCTACGCCTCCCCCCCCCTGGGGTCTGGACGGGGGACAGGAGGCAAATTCTATGTTCTCTGCTTGCTCCCAACGCTTTGGCGCCCCAAAAAGCGCCTCTCGGGACATCTCTCGGGATTTTAAACCAGACCTCCGCGGAGGCTCCCCCCTGGAAACCCCAGAGACCTCCAGATGAGTCCAGCACGACCCCTATATAGGGGATAGCTTCCAAAGTAGGTATAACTGGGCATGCTTGGCATCCCTTGGCGTTGCTTTGCTTTGCTTGGCGTTGCGTTGCTTTGCTTGTCATTACCGGGCGTTGCCGCACTGCTTGACTTCGCTCGGTGTTCCTTGACTTTGCTTTGCATTGCTTAGAATTGCTTGGCATTGCTTGACCATGCTTGGCTTTGCTCGGCGCTGCGTGGCGTTGCTTGGCATTCCAGAGCCGGGCGACCCCAGGCGACCCTGGGGAACGCCAGGCATCTGGGCAGCGGGGTAGCTTTGGGAACTGCTTGGCATTGCTTGGCACTGTGGCTTCAACCTGCATTGCTTAGCGCTGCTTGACATTGCTTGACGTTGCTTGGCTCTGCTTCGCATTGCTTGGCATTCCGGGACCAGGCAACCCCGGGCAACCTCAGGGACCAGGCAAAGGGGCAACCTGGGGAACCCTGGGGGCCGCCTCTGAAATTCACACGTCACACCCATCGGTGTTGTTCAGAAACAAATTCCCCAATCAGTGCTTGCACTGAAGGGTACCCAGTGGATGTTCCCCAATCGGAGTTTGCACTGAAGCGGTCCTAGCGGATATTGAAAGATTGGCGAAAATTTCCCACCGATTTGGGTAGCCGGCTGGGTTCCAGGGTTCCCGGTTCCAGGATTGGTTCCGGGCCGATCTCGGTGGGTTCTGGGTTCCCGGGTTCCCGGTCCATCTCCTCATCGATCTCCTTATCGATCCCATGTCAAACCGTCCACTGATTGGGTTTTGCTCTGGTGTAATGCGAACCCGATAGGCAAAGCTTCATCGGAGAGGACGGACGGAGGGAGAGAAGAGGAACGCAACAACTGGCAGGGCCGCACCACTTCGGGCCATGGGTGAGCTGGCGCGCTCAGCACGTCGGCCCGCCGAGAGCGGCGACAGGGCCAGAGGCGACCGCATGCTGCATGGCGCCTCGCCTCTCCTCGTCAGGGCTGGGCCCAAACGTTGTTGTTCGCTTCGTGCTCGTTTTGCCCCAACCCGTTTTCCTGCACCTCCCAGCCAGAAACGAGCATAACAAAACACCGCCGTAGTCCAGCAAAACGACGTTTTTTAGGTCCAGCCCTGCTCCTTACTGTTGGCGTTCTGTTCCTCCTGGGTTCCGGCATGTGGCCGAAGGGTGGGAAAGGGGGGTCGGCGACTCCAAAGGGTGTTGTTTGTAACCGGCATCCGGGGGAGCATCCTGGGGGGCGCCCTGGCTGGGGGGCGCGCGGGGAACTCGATAGAGTTCTCCCGCGCCCCGCGGAGGCCCGACGAGGACAGCGTCGAGCCCCCCAGGCCCCAACGTTGCCGATCGTAAGCCGCACCCCGGCGTTAATAACTGTGCCCTTTGCAGTCGCCGGGGGGGGGGGATCTGGGTCTGGGCCAGTGCTTCGCCGATCGGCCTTTGCCGGTCGCGCCAGCAGGTATCGGGGGGCAGGGGCCCTGGCCGGCCACCAGCAGCAGCCGCGATCTGGTCCATGGAGGTGTGCAGGGGGGGGGGGACAGGTGGGGGGGGGGCGCCCGGGGCCCGCGCCGATCTGCGAAGCAATGGAGGAAAACACAGGAGGAGGAGGAGGAGGAGGAGGAGGAGGAGGAGGAGGAGGAGGAGGAGGAGGAGGAGGAGGAGGAGGAGGAGGAGGAGAGGAGGAGAGGAGGAGGAGAAGGAGGAGGAGGAGGAGGAGGAGGAGGAGGAGGAGGAGGAGGATGAGGAAGAGGAGGGAAGGTAGGGACACGGCGACCTGTCCTCGTGCGACTGCGCGCGCCTGTGCCGCAGCTCCAGCGAGCAAGGCTGGCTTTGCTTCACACAGCGCGCGGGGCCAAGGAACGTCACCAGGCGGCGCAGGCCGCCGCCCTCCCGGGACTAATCCCCACGTCCCCCTCCTCCTCCTCCTCCTCCTCCTTTCTCCTCCTCCTCCTCCTCCTCCTCCTCCTCCTCCTCCTCCTCTGCGTCCTCCTCCTCTGCGTCCTCCTTCTCCACATCCTCGTCCCTCTTCTTCCCTTCCTTGTCCCCTCCCCCCCTCTCCCCTCATCTTTCCTTCCCCCCCCTCCCCCAAGAGGGAGGGAAGGAATGATGAGGGGAGCGGGGGGTCGGGGTCCCTAACCCCTCCCTGGCAACCACGCCCCTCCCCACCCCTCCGCCGCCGCCCCACATTGCTCCCACCGCTCCCGTCTCCTTGTCTCCAAGATATCCAGTGCCCCTACTCTTCCAGCGCGCGCACCTGGACCTCTCGACCCCTTCCCTGCGCCAGCTTCTCGCCCCAGATCCTTTCTGGGTGGCGCCGGTGCCCCAAGACGGTCCCTTGGGGCGGAGCGAAAGACAGGCGCTCTGCACCTGTCAAGGTCCCCACGCTCTCTGGCATCCCCCCCCGCCCGCCGTCGCCCCGGCATGAGCCGTATGGGTTCTGCGGGAAGCGGGTCGTGGACCCCGGGGGGCCTTCCTCCCGAGCCGTCTCTTGACAATCCCAGGGCCAGGGGAAGGCTCGCCTGAAGACAAGACAAACACCTCCCCTGGGATGCGACGCTGGAGCAAGAATGCGACCTCGCGGCAAAACACACGACCGGCTCGCTGTGCCCCATTTTTTTCTGCTTCTTGTTAAGCGGGATCCACCTGTGCGGGTCCCAGGGCCCGACCCCAGGCAGAATCGCCCGTTGCGCGAAAATGCGACGCCGAGATTTGAGCAGGGACCGACCGTCCCGGCAGTCCTATAGGCCTACCACGAAATGTTCTTAGAGCCATAAGATGTTCTAAGAACAAAGACAATGTTCTTAGAACATGAACCCGCTGTGATAAAACAAGACAGTCGCAGCCCGAACTGTCTAAGAAAATGTCGTGGAAACTGAGATTCGCACGACGGATTATGGTGTATACGGCATCCTGGTGTATACATTCTTGTTGCTTCCAAGGGGAAGCGGGGAAACAAGTATACACCTCACCACCCCGACGTCGTCCCCGACCCTCAAAAAAGTCCTGGGATTGACCAGCAGCCCGCCACTGTCGGGTCGGGCGAAAGGGGGGGATCGTAAAAGGGGGGTTTGAGAATCAGCTCGCGTAGCTGATTTTCCAGGCGCCTCCCGGCGCCGGAGGCGCCCATGTATCGAGGAATGGGCCCCTCGGTGGGGCCGAAACCAGCTGCATGCAGCAAATTTCGTAACCCCCCCTTTCCCAATCCCCCCCTTTCGCCTGGCCCGACACTGGTAATGTACATGCTCCAGTTTCCGACTACAGGCACGCCAAGACGCTTCGCCACTGCTTAAACCTTCGCCGCGATCCGCCCCCTCCAGGTCCTCGCTGGCCGGGCAGCGCCAGCCGGCGTCGAGCCTGGGCGGCGCAGGGCCGCGCCGATGCTGGCATGGCCTCCGCGAGGCCCGGCGGCGAGAGAGGAGAGGAGGAGGAGGAGGAGGAGGAGGAGAAGGAGGAGGAGGAAGAGAAGGAGGACCAATGTAAATCCAAGACTCTCATCTACTATGTATTGCAACAAACCCTCCCTCCAAGTTCCCTCTGCATAGGCGCCTACAAAAACTCATGTTCACTGAAGGGAGTGCCTCGGTGGAAGACAACACCCGTTTGAAAATCCGGAACTGTGCCAGAACACCATTCCTGGGACTTGACAGCCGAGAACCACCGACACTGTGTTGCGTTTTGACGATCCTGAATCGCGCCAGAACGCCACCCCCCCTGAGACTTCAACACCGCGAGTCAACGTTTCTTTCGCGCCTTGACATTCCGACATCGTGCCATAGAACCATGTCTGGGCAATTAGCCGTGAGAATCCTTTGAAACTGCTGCAAACTCTGAAGGCGAAAATGCGAGGAACTACGGCGAGAACCACATGTTGGAAATGAACCGCCCTCCATCTGTGTAAATCCTGCAGTCTGTGAAAACGAATGTGCACGGCGATAAGGCGTGAACCACATCTTGAAAACGGACCGTCCTCCACCCGTGAAGCTCTTGCAAACTTCTTCACTTCTTCCAAAGAGTGTGCGCAGTGCTAGAGCGAGGACCACACTTTGAAAAAAATGGCCCGCCCTGAATTTGCAAAATTCTTGCACCATTTAAAGACGAGCGTGCGCGGCGCTAAAGCGAGAACCGCATTTTGAAAACGGCCTGCCCTCAATCCGTGATGTTCGTGCAATTGCTTTGAAAAAACGAATGTGCGCGGCACTGAGGCGAGAACCAACTGTTGAAAACCACCCGCCCTCCATCCGTGAAGCTGTTGCGAATCCTAATCTTCAAGATCGTAAATCGCGAGGAATCTTGAGCGAAACGCCTGGCCCGCCCTTTCGACCGGCCTCGGGGTGCGACAGGGAGGAGTTATGTATGAGGGAGAGGGATGGAGGAGGAAGAGGAGGGGAGGAGGAGGCTCGAGGAGGAGTGGCGCCCAACGCCTGTGCGCGACTGCGGCTTGCCTAGCACAGGAGGAGGATGAGGGGATTATGATGATGATGATGATGATGATGCTGATGATGATGATGAGGAGGAGGATGACGAGTGTGATGATGATACAGATGATGCTGCTGATGATTGTGCTGATGGTGAAGATGCAAACGAATGAAGATGGTGATGCTGATGACGATGATGATGATGATGCTGCTGCTGATGATGATGATGATGATGATGACCATGTTGGCGATGATGGTGATGATTGTGACGATGATGCCGATGATGTTGATTATCATCATCAGTATCATGATGGTGATGGGTATGGTGATGATGATGGTGATGCTGATGGTGATGATGATGGTGATGATGATGAGGATGGTGATGATGATGACGATGATACTGGTGATGATGATGATGATGATGACGACGATGATGATGAAGATATGATGGTGATGACCATAATGATGATAATGATGATGCTGCTGAGCATGGGGGGGAGGCAACAGAGGAGGGCTTGAGGAAGAATTGGTTCGGGGCGCTTTAGACCCCTTAGTAGGCCCAGTTTCCTGGAACCACCACCTCGGCGGCCCGATGATGCGAATGGCCCGGGGACGGGACGAGGTCCTTCTGGGCTGGGCACCTGCCAGAATTGCAGGAAAGCCGCCAAAAGGTCCCAAGAGGGCCACCCGGGCGGTCACAGGATGACACACAAGGAAAATCACCAGCGTAGAGCTTCATGTTGGAGCCTGCCCAAGCAGCAGGAAGGCCCTCAGAGGGTCCCCGAAAAACTTCAAGTCCGTCACAAGATGACCCACAAGGAAAATCTACACCGGAAACTTCCACCATTGAAAAGATGCCATACCAGGAGTATCTAGGACCTCGCAAACCAAGAGGGTTTGTGCACAACGAACACACCAGGGAATCTGTTGATCGAGCATGGGTGGGGCACACACGCCCGGACCCCATTGAACTCAGGATGCGCTAGCGATGGTGCGATACGTCTCCCCGCCCCACGTTCCCTCCTCTTACGCCCCTCGCAATGCTATACAGTCGGGCTTGATTGGAGAGGACACGCGAGAGGACGCAAGACCCTTTCGAGGGCCACATCGCCACAGGAATGTACGAAGCATGGGTCACGAGACACAGGACACAAGGGTACCCTTGATCTGGCAGGGTCGACCTACTAATCCGGGCCGCCTGTAATCCAGCAGGGAACGAAACGTGGGCAAGCGGGCGGATGGAGGTGAGAGCGTGCAGGACTGCCACCCTCGCCGCCAGCTCTGAGTCCATGAGGCATCTGCCCTGCGACGAGGATGCGCTCGCAAAGTCTACGGATGCACGAGGGCCTGCGTTGCCGCGAGGCAACGACCAATAAGAAACGAACCATGGTACCTTTTTTGATCCGCGGGTCGAGAGCGCACCTCTTCCGGTCGAAGCTAAGCGGGCCGCGCACAGCTTTGATTAACAGAGCGGGGTCGAACCATGGTAGCACGGGAAAGACGTGAGAGTGTGCGACGTGGAGTTTTCTCTAGTTTCTCATGTGTCCTCTGTTCTCTGTGCTCAGGGCTCTTTGGTTACAGTATTCTGAGGGGATGGGGCCCCCTAAATTATCAATTTCCCCGGGCGTTCCCGCGAGCTCCTGGGCTGCCCCGCGCGACTTGTCCAGAGGCCATAAGGCCCCAAGACAGGTCAAGAAGGCACCAGAAACCGCCCAAGAGGGGCCAAGAGGCCTCCAAGACAGCCTAAGAACGCGCCAAGACGCCCAAAATGGTCCCAAGAGGCTCCGAAGAAGCCACGAAAGCGCTCCAAGAGGACCCCCAACAGGGCCCAAATAGGCAAACATCATTGATTTCCCCAGCTGTTCGATGTGTTTCGCTTTCTCGCGTTTTCGCGCTTCCGACGCTCCAAGATGGCCCCAGAGGCCCCCCAAACCGCCCCAAGACGGCCCAAGAGGCCCCCAAGAGGGCCCCAAGACGGTCCAACGGGGGCCCCAAAACGGCCCAAGAGGCGCCCAAGATCGCCCAAGAGGAGGGCCCGAAGACGGCCCCACGAGTGGCCCAAGAGGGGGAACACGAACCGACAAGTCAAGTTCTCCGCCCCAAGAGGCCCCCGGGAGGCCCCAAGAGGCCCACTCGAGAGCCGAAGAGGCCCCCCTAGAGGCCCCACGAGGCCCCCAAGATGCCCAAGAAGAGGCCCCAAGAGGCACCCAAACAGTCACCAAGAGGCTTCGAAACTGCATCCAAGAGTACCTTGTGAGGCCTCACGCGCGATATCAAATCGAACATCCAAGAGGCCTCTAACCCACAAGCCAGGCACGGTGTCGGTTTGGGCCGAAGGCAACTAGATCCGCCGCCCCCTGCGGTCTTGCCACAAGGGTGCCTGGCGTGCTGAACCCAACTGGTTTGGTTTTGGCTCTTTTTCAAAAAGAGCTCTCTCCTGAGGCTTCGGCGCGTCCCGCCGGCCACGCGGAAAAGCGCACAATTCCCCGAGCAACAATCCCAATCGCCTCCAAGACGGCCTCCAAGACGGCTCAGATGGTTCAAGATGGTCTCCAAGTTCGCCCAAGATGTTCCAACATGGCCTCCAAGATGGCCGAAGAGGGTTCAAGACCAAGTCCGCCCAAGGCGCCACCAAGACGGTCCAAGATGGCCTCAAGATGGCCCAATACGGCCCCAGAGGCTCCCGAGAGGCCCCAAAGCTTCTTTTCGGCCTTTGGACGGCCCGAGACGGCCCAATAGCCCCCGAAGATCGCCCCAAGATTCAAGATTGCACAAGAGGACTCCAAGATGGCCCCAGAACGGCCCAAGAGGCCCCAAGACGGCCCCAAGGAGCCCCAAGACGGCCCAAGAGGCCCCCAAGACGGCCAAGATTGCCCCCAAGGCGGCTCTGGAACACCCCAAGAGGGCCCCAAGTCAGCCCAGAGAGGGGCCCCAAGACGGCCCCCGACGGCTCCCGACGGCGCCAGACGGGCCAAAAGCCCACCAAGACGGCCCAAGATGGCTCCAAGAGGTCTCCAAGATGGCCCCAGAGGCCTCCAAGAGGACCTCCAGGAAGGCCCGAAGAGGCCAAACTATTGATCGTTCCTGTGTGTTTGAAGGGTTCTGGCGTTTGCTTCTTGTCGGCCTTCCGGCGGCCCGAGACGGTCGAAGAGCCCCCAAAGATAGCCCAAGATCGCCCAACAGGCCCCCAGGATGGCTCCAGAACGGCCAACGAGGCCCCCAAGACGGCCCCAAGAGGGCCCCAAGACGGCCCAAGGGGCCTTCAAGACGCCCAAGGTGGCCCCCAAGGCGGCCCTGGAGCACCCTAAGAGGGTCCCAAGTTGGCCCAGAGAGGCCCTCAAGACGGCTTCCGACGGCGTCCGACAAGCCAAGAATGCTCTAAGACGGCCAAAGAAGCCTCCGAGGAGCCCCCAAAGACCCCCAAAATGCCCAAGGAGGCCCCCAAGATGCCTCCAAGAGGCTCCCAGGAAGCCACCATAATGCCCCAAGAGTGCCCCCTGAGGCTCCCAAGATGACCCTCGTCCTCCTCCTCCTCCTTCTCCCTTCCTCCTCCTCCTCCTCCTCCTCCTTTTCCTTTTCCTCCTCCTCCTCCTCCTCCTCCTCCTCCTCCTCCTCCTCCTCCTCCTCCTCCTCCTCCTCCTCCTCCTCCCCCCCTCCTCCTCCTCCTGATCTTCCCCGCCATCCTCCCCCAAATGTTCCCCGAAGGGTTTCCGCAACGGTTTGGGGAACACGTGGTCCGCTCGCTCGCACCCGACCCAAGGTCGTCGGCGTCGGCGTCGGCTTCGGGCCGGCCCCGCGGCGCCCTGCGCGCCAGCGGCTGCGGGCAACCGGGGCGGCGGGGCAGCGCACCGGGCGGGCCGCTGCGCCGGGTGGCGGGGCGCGCCTGCCGGCTGGGCGGGGGCTCCCCTTAGGCACTTGCCCTCCAGTGCACCCTGTCTCCCTCCCCCCCTCCTCCTCTCTGCTTCCTGCTTCCTCATGCCTCCTTCCTCCTTCCTTCTCTTCCCTCCTTCCTCCTTCCTCCTTTCTCCTGCCTCCTCCTCCTCTCCTTCTCGTCGGTTTCGTTGTCGTCATCGTCGTCGTCGTCCCCCTCTCCTCCTTCCTCCTCCTCCTCCTCCTCCTCCTCCTCCTCCTCCTCCTCCTCCTCTCCTCCCCCTCCTCCTCCTCCTCCTCCTCCTCCTCCTCCTCCTCTCCTCCTCCTCCCCCCTCCTCCTCCTCCTCCCTCCTCCTCCTCCTCCTCCTCCTCCTCTCCTCCTCCTCCTCCTCCTCCTCCTCCTCTCCTCCTCCTCCTCCTCCTCCTCCTCCTCCTAACGGGCACCCCCGTCGCTCCCTCGGGGGCTGCAGGAGCGGCCAGCATCGCCTCGGCACACGGGCTCGGCTCGGCGGGTGCGCCGGGCGGGCTGGGCCGCACTGGCACGGGGTGCCAGGAGCTGTGCCGGGCCGGCCGCGCAAGGGCGCACAGCAGCGCCATGCTGTCCTCGATCCTCGAACCTCCTCGACCCTTGCCTTAAGTCGGGCCTGTCCCCCATACAGGGGGATTCTCGGCGAATCCCAAAAATGGTCAAAAATTGTATCCAGAAATAGTCTGGGGACTATTTTTGGAATATTGTTTGACCTTTCTGGGGTATCTGTAGGGTATTCTCTATTTTTCGTCGAAAATCCCCCTGTAGGGGGACACGCCCGACATAATCCTTGCCTCCTCTGGAATCTATACCCTGACCCCCTCGACCGAAGAAAAAGTCACTACCGGAGGCTTTCCGCTATCTTCGGGGCCCTCGGGACCGTCGAGAAACGACTCAGGACGAAAAACCGTTGCAGGGGAATGGGTCCAGTCCGCTGGGGGTCGACGTCATGAAAAAAACATGACGTCGGGGGTCCGGGTATATCCCTGGCAAAGTCCTTGGAGGCCACAGAACACCAGAGACATGTCAAGACCTTGGTCCTCGCGTGCAGCTCGATCGACGACGGCGACGGCGGCAGCGGCCACGGCATCGGCATCAATGACGACGACGGCGGCGACGGCGACGACGGCAACGACCACGGCAACGACGGTGACGAAGACGGCAAGGGCGGCGGCGGCGGCGACGACGACGACGACGACGACGACGACGACGACGACCACGGCGGGGCGCCCTGGGAGGCCGGCCGCTGCATGGCGGCCCCTCGGCCGTGCCAATGCCCCCCGCGCCCCTGCGGCGCATGAGGGCGCCAGGCCGCCGCAAGGGCGCGGGCTGAGAGCCACGCGGGGCG